CCGAAACTCGCTCCTCCGCCAGGTTTGCGGCAGAAACGGAAAGCAGCCGATAGGAATCGGAACCGAGGCTTTCCTTCTCCCATCCCGCTCTTAGATAAATCAAAATAAGTGCGCATTTCGAAGACGAAACAGATGCTAAATCCACCTAAATAAAGCACTGTGAATCAGCCGTCTGGGGCACATTAAGGAAAGATTCAACACGTATGTTGTTTCTCCATTATTGCATTGAAATTCCTGCAAACGCATGGCTGTGTGTGCCACTTGTTGCCAGCAGTCCACTCATCACTTTGGTTTCTACCTGCAGTGACCCTGTAAAAGTATCAGCCAGTCCACAGGAGCGCTAAAGGGGAACAAGAGTAATCAGTAAGTTTTATACAACATTCTTATTGCATATGATGAGAGTACGACTTACTGGAATTAGCAATGCAATGCTCTGGGAAGGCTTAGTCTTCAGATTACTTGCTGCACTAAATACATTGGTACTAGAATGAAACAAAAAAATTGAAATAATGGGCCTTCAAAAGGCTGACTGCAAGCAGGCCGTGAAAAATGGACTCCTGACATTTCTTCCCCACTTTCTCCAAATCATGGATTTTTTCTAGGCTTCCATACCTCTTAATGACTGACTAGGGTTGGATTCAGGTGGCACTTTCAACAGTGGGGCATTAAGTTGCATCCCTTAGCCTGCTCAATGGCAACACCCAAAGTAAGCCATCACTGCAGTGAAACCTAACAGCCCCATCAGTGTTGCACAGCCAACTGTAAAATACTACAGACAGGAGAGAAAGCCAAGGATCCTTCGACACCAGTAGTGCAACAATCACATAAAAAGCAAAGTGAAAACACCGAGTTTTAACCAGAGCTGCACCACTGCAGAGGTTCTGCAAATGGTACAGGAGGTGAAGGGCCCCCCAGCCCTCAGTGGCGCTGGCTGCCTTAGCACAAGTGTCAGCACTTATCCACAATGAAAGTTAGTAAAATATTTGAAATAAGCATGTTTTTTTTAATTCCCCCCCCCCCCCCCATTTAGGCCTTCCACTATTAGCTCATGAGGAAAAAGTCATCTGTAATCGAGCCATGCAGAGACTATGAGACGTTCACTTGGTAAATCATTAGCGGGATGGACAGTGCAGGAAGTGGATTTTCTCCAGATTGATTTCTGCCCCATTCTGATCCCATTGCTACCTCCACACCCAATTCTAAACATTTCACTGGAAAAATTGCAGAAACCGTGTCTTGCACGTAATAATTTCTTCTACCATTTGAATATTTTCCTGCTCGGCACTGTATCTTCTTGATATACTGCAGAGGCTGAACAGTAATAAAGATTCAGAAAAGGGAGGGAAATCATATCTGAAGATATATTGCTTTCTTTGTTAGCCACCCAGAGAAAGCAACAGAGTGTGAACTGAGGTACCTCACAGGAACACTGCTAGTGGATTTTGAACACAGGGCTGCAAGTGAAATGCTTGTCCAGGTTTTTTGCTTGTATTCTGACCACCAGCCAAATTCCTTCTCAGTTTTGGGTGGTCTGTCTTTTTCTTTCGTCACGCTTCATCTCAGAGAAGAAGTTTTAGAGGCAGGTAAGGGAACCTGCTACACCTAGATGAATAAAAGAAATACTTGCTGAATAATTTATTCATCACACCATCAGAACATTTCCATAGCTGGAAAAATGTTTAAAAAGTCATCAGCTATTTGCAAAAAGTATTACAAAATTAATCAGATACATTACCTAGGGGTTATTATTCTGGAAAATATTGTCTTCTGTTTGTTCCTTATTTATTCCACCAAATGCAGCTGAAGGCTTGTTGCTAATATGTAACTTTCCGGAGTCTTCTCTTTATCAAAGTGTCAGTGTAATTGGTGTTACTGACTCAATCTTTTTAAAAACTGTAATAAACTTGATGGGCATAGGCTTTGGGGATGTATTCTGGTGATAACAGGGAAATAATGGCTGATTTGTTTACTTTGGAAATCTCAAACAGATCCTATAGCGTTTTGTAAGAGGCTTTTTGGGGTTTATATAGTACTATGCTAAAATAATCCATGGGACTAAGGTTGCTAGTTTGCCTTCAGACAGCATCAATCTGTGCAGTAAACTTAAAAAGCTTTCATCAGTTCAGACCACCAACAGCAACTGCCCATTGATTTTGACTATATTGTATCAGAGATAGAAGTGTCCCTGCAGGTATTTTTCGAATAGCCTTTAAAAATGTTTCAGATAAATATGCCAAATAAGCTATTTGCTGAAAAGGGTAATTTTCCTACAATTTACCCCAAAGGATCCCTATAATTTTTCACTTCCTTTACATACCTCGTACACAAACAGAAGATTGATTATCATTACAATATTGACTGAATCAGCTGTACTCGGAAATGTTTGGCTAGGGAGATGGGGTTCTGTCTTCCACATGAAAGTCATTTTTGTAGCTTAAAGCAGGTTTTTGAAATATTGAATTTATCACCATTTTAAATACAGAAACATGGGACTATTTCTTGGGGCATTTTTGTAGCAGCAAAGGATTTTTTAATCTTCTTCTATTTGACATACTGAAGCAACGAGTAGTAATAGTAAAGCTCTTGAACAGCTTTCATTAAAAAGAGTTATTAATACCTGTTACTTAAATGGGCTTTATATTATTCTTAAATGTTGCATTCTTGCCATAAAATTCTGTTTTATGAATAATTCTTTTTATGGCATTTTCTTCTCATTAAAACAAAATTTTGGAGCAGGAGAAGGAAAGGGAAATAGGAAAAAAGGGATGTTTCATATTTGTTTATTTTCTCACTTCTAATTTCTGGAGCCCATATGGTCTCCCTTTGGCTTTTTATGAGCTCAGGGCTCCAATCTCAAGCTTTTGACTAAACTCAGACAATAACTGTTAACAGTTACATTTTCAACTGGATTTTCCAACTCTACTTTCTCCACCCTGAGAGTGGAAGGTTTGGCGTGCCTTGGTGTGTATCCACCATGGGAAGATTCTCATGGCAATTCATTTCTTAAAAGTGTAGAAGGAAATGTATACAGGTTTTCATTGCAAAATGTCAGTTAGATAACACAATCAACACACTTAGATAACGCAATGATCATATCATCATAGGTATGCTTCATGGACCATAGACATATTCTCCAGGAAGTATTTGAATACAGATATAAATTTTAGTTTAAAAAAATTACCTCAATCATGTTCACATCCTATCCACATTTGCCTTCTAGGTAGATCACTGAGAACATATTTTCCTGGCACTAATTTTCATAAAAAGTTAATTTCAAAGTGACCTGTTGCTCCAGAAACATGCTTTAAAACTATCAATATGGATACTAAGACCAAATGAGATTTTAAATTCACATAGTCCAAGCATGAAATAATTTTGTTAATTAGCCCACCAATTACAAATAACAATCCATATTTGAACACCGATCAGCAATCTGAATGTGAGCATCCCAAAAAATTTCATGTAATAGAATCACTGACTACTCTAGAGTTTACTTCATTCTGTTACCTGAATCTGTCCAAAGACATACCATAAGTGCAATGTCAGCAAATATTTTTTTGCATGAGTAACTTATGAAATTCCAAAAATCTTTAAAGACTGTAATTGAAATGGAAGTTGAGAGATCCAACAGCGTCTCTGATTCAATTACCAATAGTTAGCTGTGTTAAGAGGCTGCATCTCTAAATGAGAAAGAGGGAATAAGATTTAAAAAAATGTGCTCACAAGCTTCCATCTAAATCTGTTTCAGAAAAAAAATCAATGGATGCACAATAATTATCCAGCAAACTCCACAGAGTCTTTGGGATTCAGAGTCATTCTCTTTCAGTTCGTCACTCTGCTAATACTCAGTACCTTTAACATGGCCCACCACATCACATGTGATTCATCTTCTTAACATTTCTAGACCATGCAAACTGAGTTATCAAAAAAAAAAATGCCCTCACATTCACAAAAGGCTTCCAAACCTCAGGTTAAGCCTCTTTGGAACAGGAAACCATTAATAAATTCCTTATCATTAGATTTTTACAATTCTTTGTGAACGACCAAATAGTTTAATATATAGGTATCTAATTTTAATAGCCCACAAATGCTCTTCTAAATCAGGTCTGTACTGGGAAGACACAGTGCCATAAATTCTCTTCACTTAAATAGCTGGCCTCAGTATGTACTCACAGCAGGAAAGTACTTTCTACTTGTGCCATTGCTTCACATTTTAACTGTATGTGACTCTGTCAGCTACAGCCACAGCATCCCTTAAGAAGGAATCCAACTGTCCCCCAGGGTATTTCCTGACACTACACCCAGTGAATCATTTTTTTCTGTGTATGTGCACGCTGGCACAAAGCCCAGGGAGTTATAGATGTTTCAGATCAGATTCCCACAGTTCCCTTTCTCCATTCTGTATGACTTTCGCATCTACAATTTTTGGTCATTTAAAAAGAAAAAATAAAAAATCAGAACAAAACAAACCACCCACATTCCCACAAGCCCTCTTGAGTTCCTAAAGCTTTTATTTCTCCATCACTTCCTGATTTTTTTTCCTTCTCTCACGTGATGCTGTCTGGAGAAGGGTTAACAGGGAAGAAAACAGGCAGAAGTAACAGGTTGAAAGAGTTCGTCCAGAATGAGAAACTCTCTAGTCTCAGGAAAGGGCAGAAGGAAAAACATTTCATGCTTGAAGAGAATTATAAGCAATGGGAATTAACTTTTCCTGTTGAAGAAGAAACCAAGATGGCATCCTGCATGAAATACTAGTTGCCTCACATCAGACATGGTGAACACCTACCCCAAAAGATGACTAGAAATTGAAGCAAATAG